GCTTTTCCTCGTCCACGCAGACCCCCTTGCGGTGCCGCCCCGCATCCCCACACGTCTTCGTGCACTGTTGGGCGGCCAAAAAAAAAAAAAAAAGGCTCTGTGCTTGGCATGCACATCTCTTACTGCTATTACTTGGGGGAAAATTGGTGATCAGGGTCAGAGGCTGTGGGTGCACCCAGCTCCCGGCCCCGGAGGCACGGGTGGGGTGGCCTGGCAGAGTGACGGCCCCATGCGACGTAGGAGCGGGCACGCCAGGCGGAGGGACGCCATCGGAGAGGGCAGAGAGGTGCCCAGCCTCTCATTTTGGCCCTACACCATCACTGAACTCTGCCTGCTGTTAAGAGCAACCCATATGATCCAAGAGCAATCGCTCCGCTAGGTCTTCTGGAGACTTGAAGGACTCGATACTTTTGCTGCTCATCTTGGGATGAGCTGCGCCTGCCCCCTGAGAAACCCTTGCTCCGCGCCCGGGAGCTCAGAGCGCATCTCACAAACACGCAAACGAAACAAAATAAGCCAAGGTAAGAGCAACTGCCTGGATAAAACCGTACTTCTGTTTAAATTATCAGCTGTAATGGGCTTCCAACACTTTCAACTAACTGGATTAACAGGGAGGAAAAAATGCATGAAAATAATCACTTTATACAATGTGCAGGAAACATCTGTCCCTTAGGAAATGATATAATATGTAACCAGACCATCCCTATCTGTATAAAAACACTTTCTGAAGTCACCTAGGCTTGAGGAACCATGCCAGTTTAACGTGGCTATAGTTTCACCGTTTGCCCATAAAATTTTCAGCCGCTCTGAAGCGGCTCCTGCTCTCCGGGCTGGTCTGCAATTAGCCAGATCATAGTGGGTACCCCTAATTGCGAAAGGCAGGCGCTGCCAGGTCTGCCTTTCTGTAATGAGCTGTCGCAGTCGAGACCGCAAATTATTTGCGAACTTGGAAAGATCAGATTCATACGCAAAAGTGCCGCGGCACCGCCAGCAAACCAGGAGAGCTGCAGCGAGCGCGGCGTCACGTTCGCCAGAAATATTGAGCAGCCGTGCAAAAGGGAGGGGGGCGGGCAGGGGAAGAAAGCCCGCCAGAGCGGCGTTTAGGCTGAAGGAATAGCTCAGCAGCTCTTAGGCAACAGCCTACATTGCAAAATCTGCAGTCTGCCAAAAGATCCCCAAGGGCTTCATGTGCCTCCACCCTTATTTACTCCCTCGCTTTAAGCCCTCCAGAGTGGAAGTCCCTCCTCGGTCCTGCAGTCCTGCGGGGGCCGGAGTAAATTGCTCGAGCGCAATTTCCCCCAAGAGCAAACAAGCTGTGCTGGTGCTCTGGTAGCTCCTTATCACACAAGGAAAATGTCAAAGCCGGTGAGCGCCCCTGGACGTGGCACCGCCGGCTCCCCTTAGTCGGGCGGCTCCTCCGCGGGCACCTCTCGGGGCGGCGGGGACACTGCGAGCAAGAGGTACGGGACGACGTCGGGCTGAGCTGCGCCCTTCGGCTCACGCTGAATTTGAGGAGCACGAACAAGCTCCTCGGCATCAACGGGACCCCTGACATCGGCCGTAAACAGCTATCGAATAGAAGAGCCTTCCTCGTTTTAAATCATTAAGTCCCGGCGAGAGATTGACCGTTGGCATGCGTTGCACCAGACGCCCTCAAACAGGCGCCGTCCTGCGTGGGTTGTCTCTGCAGGCGATGGTCATACGACCAAAGAAAACTGTGCCAGCTCTGGACATTTTGTCCTCAGTAAATTATAGTTTGTCTGCTGGCGTTTTTCAGGATAACTGGCAATTCAAACAATTCCAGCATGCCATTAAATACAGCTCAAAGACAGCGTGACCACCGCAAAAGAAATCAAAGAGATATATTGGGGAGGTTTCTAATCCGCCACAGCAACGTCGTGGGACATCATTCACTGAGAAACTGGACCGTTCACCAAACGTGAAAGGACCGCTTTTTCATTTACTACGATGAGAGATTTTGCATGAAATCTCATGTTAACAACCGATCTAAGCCTCAAATAAAACCACAGGGAGAGGGGATAACAGACATTGATAGTGAAAGCTGGAAAAACGGGTCAGATATTCGCAAGACTTGTCTCTTGTCCCCCGTTTTCCAAAGACTGACTGTTTTCCCGGCAGTTCATATTAACAGCCTTTGCAAGCAGCTCTGTAACTGCTTTAAAAGCATAGTAATGATAATAAAAATTTAAAAAAAAAAAGTCGTTGCTTTGTGAAAACAGTCATTGTTTTTCTTTTTGCTAAACCAAAATGTGACACGCGGATGAAAAGACACCCCGCTCCACGAGCGCTTCCGGCGCGCTTGGGCTCTCTCTGGAACCCACATCACGGGCGGCCGGCAGCACCTCCCCTCTAGCCGCGAGTGTCAGCGCTTCAAGCAGGACGCTGCAGAGCTCCCAGGGCTGTGCACCCTCCTTCCACAAAGGCTCCTATTAAAAAAAATCCTCTCTCTTTCTCTGGCTCTCTCCCGTTTTCCCTTTTACTCTGTGATCCTGGTCTCGGTTTGACTTTAGCCAGCATTTGATGTTAGCAAGGCCCCGTCTAGTGACCTTCTTCCAGCTGGTGCGGGCACTGAGAACAGCTAATTAATGGTGATACAACAGCAGAGCAATAAACTGTTTCCAATAAGTTCCCTATAGCTTTTCATTGGCAAGACCAGCTTTTTTTTAAACAACAACAACAAAAAAGGACCAATAAAAAGCTCTTGACAGATTCCCTTTAAAGATGAGAAATCAAGAACAAAACAGTGCTGGAATGTTATTTTACATCCTACCTTTCATGTCAATTAGGGTTCACTGCCATTCCTTGCTCAGAGAATACCAATGCAATCTGCGGCTCCTCACTATAAATAACACGCAGCCAATACTTATGGCTGGGGAAAAAGCAATCTTGCTTTTTTCACTGGGTCCGTCAGAACAAAATAAAAAGCCTTCACAAGAAGAATGGCTTGGAACCAGACAAAAGCGGCCAGCCCAGATTGGACGACACCTGCAGCATGTTTCTATGAATGATTATTTATGGGCGAGAAAACTTTCAGCCCACCCCACTAACAAAGCTCCCCTGGGGGGGAAAAAAAGAAAAAAAAAAAAACCTCCATAACATGGTAAAGATTTCCTCGGTGCAGCGGGGAGCCCTGGAAAATTTAGGAAAAACATCACCACCCACCTGCCAGCAGCTTGGCAGGGTGAGGGCAGGCAAGGGACTGTCGCCACCGGTGTGAAAAGTTGTGAAAATAAGTGAGAAAGGGAGAAGGAAAGGGGTAGGCGAAGCGGCTCTTCAGGACTGATTACGCCACTGGGCAAGTCCTGCAGTCGCATGCTGTTTGGTGACCTACTTC